GCGCGTGTTGGGTGCGACGGTGGCGTTGCGTGCAGGGGTGTCAGGCCCCGGCGCTGCGCGCCGCGGCGGTGTCCACAGCGGTAGCGGTGCCGCGTCGCATTGGGCTCTGCCCCTGCTGCGGTGCCCGCGAGGGGGCGCGTTGCGCCCGTCGTCGGGGCGTGACGCGCCTGGACGCTCGTCGCCACCAAGACTGTGATGACGAGGATGACGATGCTGATGATGATGGGGATGATGCTGACGAGCATGATGATCATGCGGATGATTCTGATGATGATCACGATGGCGATGGCGCTGGCGATGGGGTTGATGGATATTTGTATGGTGGTGTTGAAGGCGGTGGTGGTGGTAGTGATGTTGATGGCAATGCTGATGGTGATGCTGCTGCTGACGATAGTGATGTTGCTGCTGATGATGGTTATGCTGCTGTATATGTTGAAGAAGATGAGGATGTTGGTGGTGAATGATGACGATGATGTTGCTAGGGGTGATGTTGATTACGACGATGCTGGTGATGATGGCGATGACGATAATGATGTTGCTGATGTTGGTGCGGATGCTGGTTCTCATGGCGATGAAGATGTTGATGCTGTGAGTGATTATGATAATGATGTTGACGATCATGTTGACGTGAATGATGGTGGGGATGGGGGGGAGAAGGAGGGCGATGTGGATGATGATGATGGACCTGCTGATAACGACGTCGACGACGATGATCATGATGAAGATGTTGATGACGATGGCAACGACGATGACCATTGTGATGCTGATTATGATGGTGCTGGTGGTGGTGATGAGGGCCATGACCATGACGGTGATGGCGAAGCGTATATGCATACAGATGTTTGTGCAGATGTTGAGTGTGTTCCAGACGATTATGTTGCACATGCTGGTTAGGATGGCGAGCTGGATGAGGCTGGTGATAATGATGGTGATGCTGATTATCGTGGTGCTGATGTGGACGATAGTGATGATGGCGATCATGATGATGTGGATGAGGATGTTGATGATGCTGATGATGACGATGATGCATGATAGTGATGCGGGTGATGATGGTGATGCTGATGACGATGCTGATAATATTAAAGATGCTGATGATGGTGATGATTATGACGCTGCTGATGATGATGGTGATGATGACGGTGTGGATGACCCTGTTGCTGATCATGCTGATGCGGATGATGTTTCTGTTAAGGATGGTGACGATGACGGCCGCTATCAGGGTGATGGTGCATACGCTGCTGCCGACGATGTTGACATGGACCTGGAGGAGGAGGAGGAGGAGGAGGAGGAGGAGGAGGAGGAGGAGGAGGAGGAAGGGTCGTATCCAGAGGGATTTGCAAGATATCGCGATGATCATCTGCCCTGCGCGCCCCAGCCCCAGTGCGAAGTTCTGGGTCCTCTTCCTCCTCGTCCTCCTCCTCGTCCTCCTCCTCCTCCTCGTCCTCGTCCTCCTCCTCCTCGTCCTCCTCCTCCTCTTCCTCCCCCTCCTTTCCAGACAACGAGGTTGACCTCAAGACTGGTCCTTGGTGCGTCATGGCCAGGGCTTTTGGGGAAGTCTATATGGCCGTGGCGATGATGAGGCCCGCCGAGGCCTGAGCAGGTTCAAGAAAGCAGAGGACATCGATTTTTCCCAGAGAAGCAACACTTGCATAAACATACAGTATCGGAGGTCCACGCGGATTTATTGGATCTGCGCTGAACCCCTTTCCCTGGCGCGCCCCACGCTGCCAAGGGGGTCAGCGCAGATGCCAGAAATGCGCACGGACCGCCAACAGGTTATATATATATGTATATATTCCGGCAGTTTTTCTTCCCCTATCCTCGAAGTTCGACCTCAACTCCACGCAAGCAGCCGCAGGCACCACCTACGCGACGGGGCTGCTGCTGGCGATTTGGCCGCCGCCTGGGCTCCACTCCGCGGCGATGCCCCTCGCTTTTGCTGCCGTGGTGGCTTTCGTGGTTGGCGAGGCTCCGTGCACCACCAGTGACGGGGGTGGCGGTGAGCGAGCGGCGACGCGGCGGCGGAGACCAGCGGCGGTGGAGGCAACGGCGGCGCTGACGACCGCCGCCGCTGCCGTGGTGGCCTTAGTGGTAGGCGTGACTCCGTGCACGTTTTGCGAGTTGTGAGAGTGCATCGCCACGAAACACGACATGAAGATAAGCCTTCGGCAGGCCCGCTCGGATTTCCCGAGTCGGCGCTGGACCCCCCTCCCCACACCCGTGGCGGCGCATCTTGCGCTCTGCGCGTACCAGGGGAAGCGTGTGTGTGTGTGTGTGTGTGTGTGTGTGTGTGTGTGTGTGTGTGTGTGTGTGTGTGTGTGTGTGTGTGTGTGTGTGTGTGTGTGTGTGTGTGTGTGTGTGTGTGTGTGTGTGTGTGTGTGTGTGTGTGTGTGTGTGTGTGTGTGTGTGTGTGTGTGTGTGTGTGTGTGTGTGTGTGTGTGTGTGTGTGTGTGTGTGTGTGTGTGTGTGTGTGTGTGTGTGTGTGTGTGTGTGTGTGTGTGTGTGTGTGTGTGTGTGTGTGTGTGTGTGTGTGTGTGTGTGTGTGTGTGTGTGTGTGTGTGTGTGTGTGTGTGTGTGTGTGTGTGTGTGTGTGTGTGTGTGTGTGTGTGTGTGTGTGTGTGTGTGTGTGTGTGTGTGTGTGTGTGTGTGTGTGTGTGTGGTTGGGTCGGGGTCCACCAGGGTCTGCTTCATTGCGGAGTGCAAGCGTGCGCCGCCCGAGGCCCTCTCGCTGTCCGTCTAAATCACGGCGGAAGGCTTGGGCAGGCTTCGGCCTCTGGGGGCCCTGACCAGGCCCAGGGTCTGGACCTCCTGGGGGTCCACGTGGTGAACAAACAAAACACGACGCTGAGGGTGCGGCGCCGTCCGACATCCACATCCACAGTTTCTGGGGAGCTGCCCTCGACCCCCAGGGCGGTGGAGATAGACATCCTCCCGCCCCCTTTGGTATCTCTCAACCAATCCCCATCCCCATCCCCATCCCCTTCGAGACTCCCACCAAATTACCCCCCCAGTTGGGGAGACACCCCTCGAAACCCTAAAGGGAACGACCTATATCCCCATCTAAGGGGGGTAGATCGGCCAGTGGGGCCCGGGCCACGCCGCTGGGGATGGGGATCGGTTAAACGATATTCACGCTCAGCGCAGGCCGGTACATACCCACACCATACCCACCGCGCCTCCGGGCCCCGCAGCGCGACTCCACAGCGGTCGGCATGGATATTCGCCGGCCCAACGGGCCAGGGCGTGCTAAGATCTCCGGTAACTGGTTAACAGTATTAACAGTATTTCTAGTTCGCGCGCGCGGGGCGGCCCCTGGGGGTCCCCCGGCGAAAAGTACCCCGACCAACGCCCGGTCGCCGCCCGACCGCCGCCCGACCGCCGCCCGACCAAGTCTACTCAGAGATGGTTTTCCTTCTGGGTGCGGCCTCTCAGGCTCCCCAGAGCGCGCTCAGAGTGCCCCAAGAGGCCCCCAAGACTGCCCAAGAGGCCCCCGAGACGCCCAAAGAGCGCTCGAAGACGCCGAAGATGACCCCAAGACGGCCCAAAAGGCCCCCAAGACAGCCCAAGAGGCCTCCAAGACGCCCCAAGAGCCTTCCAAGAGGCCTCCGAAGAGAGCCCCAAGAGGCCAAAATCGTTGATTTTCATTGGTTTTTTCGATGTTTTTTGTGTTCTGGCTTTTTCGGCTTCCGGACGCTCCAAGACGGCCCAAGAGGCCCCCAAGACCGCTCCAAGACGGCCCACGAAGCTCCCAAGACGGCGCCGAAACGACCCAAGAGAGCCCTCAAGACGGCCCAAGTGCCGCCCAAGACGGACCAAGAGGCCCCAAGACGGGCCCAAGAGGGACTCAGGAGGGATACCGAGAACTCAAAAATGGAGCCCTCCGTCCCAGAAGGCGCCCAGGAGGTCCCAAAGAGGCCCCAAGAGGCCTCCAAGAGGCCCCAAGATGTCGCCAAGAGGCCCCAGGAGACTCCCAGGAGGCCCAAAAGAAGCCCCAGAAGGCTTCAAACATGTCTCCCAGGCGCCCCCGAACGGCCTCTCAACAGACCCCAAGAGGCCCCCCAAAGAAGCATCTTGACGACGACTCTATTTCGCCCCATCGAGAGACGACCCCCAGGGAACTGCTTCACCATCAAAACTCCCCACGCAACGCGTCCGAACGACACCCGCCCCCAAGAGCGCAACATGGGCAACGAACACACAGACAAAAACCAGCGATGCCATATCACGGGCCGGCGGAATGAGCGAAGCGATTCAATATAAAACGACGCGAAGATCGGGACAAAATCGGATCGGGATAACTCGAAATCTCTGAGAATCGGCGGGTTTGGAGGATGTATTGGGCGCCGCGGCCGCTCCAGAGCGTTCCGGAACGCTCTGAGAGCGCTCCGGAACGCTCTGGAGCGATTTATCCCGATCCTAGCCTTGTTTTGATATACTCTGGACAGGGCAGGACCGAGTCCGAGGGAGACTGTGCAGCCAGGACTGGCCGCGAGGGGTCCGAGTCTCGGAGCGGCACTGCAGCGGAGGGGTTCGCTAGATGCTTGGCGTACGTGTCGTCGCAGCGGCGGAAGCACTGCGCAGTGGGCAATGGAAGGACGCCCACCCAGACGTGTCGAGTGCGGCTTCATGGACGCAGCAGTCCCCAGTCGGTGCGGCTCATGATGGCCCTCGTCCGGTGCTGGAGAGGGCTTAGCGGCCGCAGTTGTGTTTTGGGCCTGCGCTCGCCAGATGTGGCGCTGAGTCGTTTTCACGCATCGGTGTTTTGCTAGGCCTGTTGAAGTCGACTAATGGAGAGGAAGCATGCTGCTAAAAAATATCCAGATGTCTAAAAGATGTTTCAAACATGTCTTAAATATGTAAAAGGCATGTTTGAATCATTTTTAGAACGTGTTTTACACATTTTAAACACATTTTTTAGTCAATGATAGGACTGTTAGGGTGTCCATTGTCGTGGCATCCACAATGCTACGCTCTGTCCACCCCCGAGCCCGAGCCCGGAGGTCATGCTGCACCCGTTCAGCGCCGCCGCGCGCGCCTCCCTCCACTGCCTGGTCCTCGATGAGAGCCGCTCTTGCGACATGGGCCTGCCGGTGCCTGTCGTCGCTCTCGTCGTCACCGCGCCGCCGCCGCTTTCGTCGTCGTCGTCGTCCTCGTCGTCGTCGTCGTCGTCGCTGTCGTCACCGTACTGTCGCCGCCGTCGTCGTCGTCATCGTCGGCGGCGGCGGAGTCGGCGGCGTCGGCGGCGGCGACTGCGTAGGCGTCGGTGTCGTCCTCGTTCCCAAATACTCTGGCCCCGTTCCCCCCACCTTCAGGAAACACAGCGGGGCCAGGCCCGCCTTCTTTCTCCTTCCTGCTCCTCCTTCCACCCTCTTTTGCGAACTCCTTACTACAGGAATCTCATCCAAAGGAACCTTTGCTAAGGAGCGTTTCCTGAAGGAACCTATCAGCGGTCCCATTTTAAATTGCTCCTTATTGGAATATTCTTGGTAAGGAAGCCTTACTGGAGATCGCTTACAAAAGGCATCCTAATTATCCGTAAGGGCTTCGCCCCCTGCCGCCAGCCCCCTCTCTCGGAGAATGGGCCATGGAAGAGCTAAGTCATGAGGCCTTGGCGCTGTCGTGAAGCAGTATCGAAACTTCATGCGAAGCCGATTCGCAATCAGCAAAACCAACTGATCACAAGAGGGGTTACCACACCTGGCGATTGGTAAGACGTGTATGGTTTACGGGCTTGGTTACCACACCTTGCGATTAAAGGGCCGAGGGAGTTCTCGCAGTTTGGGTTACCACGCCTTGCGATGGATGTGCGTGAGGGGTGGCACCGAATTTCAGAAATGTGGCAAATCCCCAGTGTTTTTGGACCCTGACCCCGCGGATCTGCGTAAGGGGTGGCACCGAATTTCAGAAATGTGGCACATCCTCAGTGTTTTTGGACCCTGACCCCGCGGATCTGCGTAAGGGGTGGCACCGAATTTCAGAAATGTGGCAAATCCCTGGTGTTTTTGGACCCTGACCCCGCGGATCTGCGTGAGGGGTGGCACCGAATTGTAGAAATGTGGCACATCCTTTGTGTTTTCGGACCCTGATCCCGCGGATCTGCGTGAGGGGTGGCACCGAATTTCAGAAATGTGGCACATCCCCTCTGTTTTTGGACCCTGACCCCGCGGATCTGAATCAGGGGTGGCACCGAATTTCAGAAATGTGGCAAATCCCTTGTGTTTTTGGACCCTGACCCCGCGGATCTGCGTGAGGGGTGGCACCGAATTTCAGAAATGTGGCAAATCCCATGTGTTTTTGGACCTTGATCCCGCGGATCTGCGTAAGGGGTGGCACCGAATCCCACCAGCCCTTTAGGGCGTAGGTGGTCTAACGCGTTTCTCTTCCAACCCCCTTCTTCCCCTTCGGGGATGGGTTTACCCCTCCCCCTACCCCCTCCCCACTGACCTGGACAGGGGGGGCCGCGAGCGGTCAGAGGGTCCAAAATCGACTCCTGGGAAGGCTGAAATTCGACACCCCTCACGAGGATCGTGGCTCCTGAGGGGGGGGCTGTAACTTAGGAACCCCCCTTCGTTGATCGATCTCTTCCAAGATGGCTCCAAGAGACGTCTTAGACCCTCCTCTTGGGCCCTGCGCGCAGCTGGGCGGAGCGCCGCCCGCCCGCCCGCAAGGCCCAAGAGCCCACCAAAACGCCTCAAGATACCTCCAAGACGCCGACAGGAGGAAGAGGAGGAGGAGGAGGAGGAGAAGGGGATGGAGGAGGAGGAGGAGGAGGAGGAGGAGGAGGAGGAGGAGGAGGAGGAGGAGGAGGAGGAGGGGGAGGAGAACAACTGCCGATGATCGGCGCTCTTCGTTCGGGTACCTGATGTAGGATGGGCTGGTGGGGATACGCGAAGCGTCAACAATTTCGAAAATGTGGCAAATCCTCTGTGTTTTTGGACCCTGATCCCGCGGATCTGCGTAAGGGGTGGCACCGAATTTCAGAAATGTGGCAAATCCTCTGTGTTTTTGAACCCTGACCCCGCGGATCTGCGCAAGGGGTGGCACCGAATTTCAGAAATGTGGCAAATCCTCTGTGTTTTTGGACCCTGACCCCGCGGATCTGCGTGAGGGGTGGCACCGAATTTCAGAAATGTGGCAAATTGTGTTTTTGGACCCTGACCCCGCCGATCTGAAGAGGCCCAAATCCTTGATTTCCATTGGTTTCTTTCTATATTGTTCGGTTTCTTACGTTTTCGACCTTCCGGCGCTCCAAGACGCCCGACGCCCCCAAGACCGCCCCAAGAACGCCGAAGAGGCCCCCAACAGAGCCGCCCCCAAGACCGCCGCCCTGGGGAGCCCGAACATTGCCCAGGAGGAGCCTCAGACGGCCCAGGAGAGCCCCTGGACAGGCCCAAGGTGGGCCCCAGAGCGGGAGCGGGAGGCCCCAAGGCGCTCCAGGACGGTCCAGATGGCCCCAGCGTGGCCCCAGATGGGCCCAACACGGCCAATATACACAGCCCAAGAGGCCTCCAAGAGGCCCCAAACGAGCTCCGAAAGGCGGCCCGAGAGAGCCCGAAGAGGCCCACATCCTTGATTTCTGGTCGTTTTTTTGGGGAAAGGTTTTCCACTTTCTCGCGTCTTGGAGCTTTCCAAGATTGCCCAGAATAATCCCAGGAGAGGCACAAAATGGGCCCCAGAGCGGGAGCGGGAGGCCCCAAGGCGCTCCAGGACGGTCCAGATGTTCCCAACGTGGTCCAAGAGGAGCTCAAGACGGCAAACACACAGCCCAAGAGGCCTCCAAGAGGGCCCAAGAAAGCTCCGAGAGACGTCCCGAGAGAACCCAAAGAGGCCCAAATCATTGATTTGCATTGGTTTGTCAGATGTTTTTCGCTTTCTCGCGTTCTAGAGCTTCCAATGCTCGAAGACGGCCGAAGACGCCTCCAAGACCGCCCCCAAACCGCCGAAGAGGCACCCAAAAGAGCCCCAAGACGGCCCCAGGGAGCTCGAAAATTGCCCAGGAGAAGCATCAGACGGCCCAAGAGAGCCCCAGGACAGGTCCAAGCTGGGCCACAGAGCGGGAGCGGGAGGCCCCAAGGCGCTCCAGGACGGTCCAGACGGCCCGGGCCTCCCCCTCTCCGTCATTCCTTCCCTCCCGCCCCCTCCCCTTTCCTCCATTCCCCCCTCTCTCTTCTTCCTCCCCTCACCCCTCAGCTTTCGTGCTCCCCCCTCCTCTCCTGGGACGGCCCCGCCCAAGCGCCAGACAGGCCCCGCCAGCATCGCTATACCCTATCATTTCACACATTGTTTTACCCCTCCCACCCCCCAAGGGCGGCCCCGGCAGAGCGAGAGGGGTGTTGCTATACCATATACAGTTGCTGTTCTGTCTTGCTCCTCCCACCGCACCCGAGGTAGCCCCGTCAGAGCGAACGGGGTGTGGCTATACCATAAATTTCCTTCAGTATTGTGCTCCTCCCTCCCCTCCTGAGCAAGCCCCGCCAGAGCGCCAGGGAAACCCCGCCAGCGAGAGCAGGGCATCCCTACACCATACTATTTCGCGCGATTCTTGCTCCTCCCACCCTTGCAGGGCGGACCCGCCCGAGCGAGCGGGGTGTGGCTAAATTTTACAACCTCTCAGGTTTCATGCCCCTCCCCCACCTCCTGAAAAGGCCTCGCCAGAGCGCCAAGAAGGTATCGCCAGAGGCCCCGTCGGAGCTCCAGGCAGTTCCGCGAGCCCGAACCTTCTGATCCCACGGGTGCGATTATCGCTAGCATGAGGTTTGGCGTCCAACACGAAGAAGCTTCCCCACTCCTGTGGACGGATTCGACAACATGACTGCAGAGAAGGGCGTTGATGACCGGGACAATTGCGCGCGCCTTCTGCAGATACCCGACAGCTAAACGACCGCTGAAAACGAGAAGCCTGCAGCACAAGGAAGAGGAAACAAAAACAACGCGCTCCCACGCGCGCGCAACGAGGCCCCGAGCCAACGCCAACATCAGGAATCCGCGGATGTCTGCGTGATCGGGCATGGGGAGACCGAACAAATGTGCACACACATTGAATGTCACGACGGGGCAGACCAGCAGTGAAAATGGAGAAAAAACGCAGCTCGATACACCAAACAAAGGCGGCGGCGAGATTGTGAGATACGCTGGAACTTGGCGCCCCGCGTTATGACTACGCGCTTCGTGGTTCTACTGTGTGTGTGCATATATATATACACATATATAAACATATATATATATACATACATATCTCTAAAAATATACAGATAGAGAGAGAAAAGAGAGAGAGAGAGAGAGAAAACAAACCAAAGGGGGAGAGATAACATAATATTTCATGATACTCAATATGCTTGTACACAGTCTTCAATCAATAACATCCATTAGAACTTTTTCCAGGGGGCGGGACTCGGCCCCAGGTCTCGCTAGACGCCATCGTCAATTAAATTGGGGCTACCTTGTGCCATCCCGGAGGCCACCTTGGGCCATCCGAGGCCATCTTGGAGCCATCCTGTGCCAGAGAAGGCCCGCGAACGCCTCGCGGGGGGGTGGCCGTCCAGACCCACAAAAGGACTTTCCTGACAGAACGGGTCAGCCCATGCAGCTGGCGTGCGGGTGCCGAACCGGTGTGTGTGTGTGTGTGTCGGATGGCGTATCGCACTGGGTCATTGCCAAAGAGGTCATACAAATCAGGTGGAATCGGCTCCTCCACGAGGCTGCTCGCAGCGTACGCTCGTGAAACCATGTGTCGATTGTGGCCTTGCGACGTCGGCGGGTTGCAAGGGTTGCCGGGCTATGCGGAGGATCCTTTGTGAGGAGTGGGTGTTTGGACAACGCATGACACCGCACTCCGCTCTGCGTCATGTGTAATGCGAAGATGAGAAGGTGCCACTTAGCCGTAGCTCATAGCAGTTCCGTCCCATGCCCCCACCCATCCCTAGGCCGATCTACATTTTTCCTGCACGGGGAAGCGAAGCCGATAAATAATATGGAGGCGACATCGTGCTGCGGTCGGGGGCACGAGTTCATTCTGAGGCTTCGGCCTGGCCCACACTTGTTCTGGGGAAGGCGTGTGCTCTAAGTGTTTCAGCCTGCCCACTCCCATCCGT